TGTGATCATTGCATGGATTAGTTGTGTTGCTTATGGTACGTAATTCTTATGGTTTAACCATTATATAAATTACTTAAATAAATAATTTTCAAAACTGATTAAACTAAATGAAAACCTTATGTCAAATAATAGGCCGTTATGTTCCTAAATATCAAGAAGATGGAGGAGATGTTGAGTTTGTAACCGGATCTCCAGGTTCTGATGGACCGGGATATTCAGGGCCCAGAAATGTATTTAAAGATTGGATGAAATTTGTCCAGGGATTCTTTAAAGGTCTGTATTTTATATACATGTATAGTATTTGTTAAATTTTAATTAAAAATATATACCAAATAGATGGTAATTGGGAGAATGGTGGTCCGGCTAACTTTGCCAGATTCATTGGTAATCAAGTGTCAAAATTAGTGGAAATGTTAACCAAGAATGACAACTTTTTTAGCAAGAGAAAGTAGATTACATCTTAATGCTATTTAAAATGTGTTTATATTTAATGTGAGTGTAAATATCAAATATAAATTAATAACAGTTTAAAAGTTTTTTCTAATAAATGATTTGTTAAATCATTGATTTATAAAATGTATTATCTTTTATTTTATTAATAAAAATATACAACAAATTAAATCAATTATGTTCTTCAATAACATTTCCAGCTATTGTTAAATCCTTTTGTGGATTATTTTCATTACTAAATCTCTGAGGTTTGACTAAACCGTGTCTTTTACTATATCGCAAAGGATTCTCAAAATTTCTGGGCATTTGTGGCACTTTTAAATTCATACGTTTAAAGGCATATAAGCCAATAGCTACCAGAGCTATGATTGCTACCAATGCCCCGATTACTATTCCCACTGTCTTTCCCACTTGATTTCCACTATCACTAGGCGGTGGGTATATCTTATGAACGGCACAGATGTAGTAATTACTTCGATATCCACCACAAACTGACTGTTTCCACGATAGTGTCTCGTCATTGCTTTCAATACACATATTATTTTTAAGCTCATCCGGATCTATCACTTTGCCAACCGGCCTATCATTTGGATCCCAATATGTAAAGTCCAGTGGACTTCCATCTTCCCATTCATAATCTCCTAATACATATGATTACAAAGTATTAGTAATTGTTTGAAATACTGTTATAATATTATAGTATCCGGCCTATCATTTGGATCCCAATATGTAAAGTCCAGTGGACTTCCATCTTCCCATTCATAATCTCCTAATACATATGATTACAAAGTATTAGTAATTGTTTGAAATACTGTTATAATATTATAGTACCAGTTGAACCCCTCGTAAGGCCAATCCATGTGTTGTAATAACCGCCCACTTGTTTGGGTTGTTTTAATTTAGTACTCAATAACATGAGATCGTGGGTCGAGTGAATGGATACTAAGCTACCATTCCTTCGGTTGCAATGTCGGGAGGCGTCGTCCCAACTTAAGATCCCGCTATAGGACGGGCCCTTTCGGTCAATACTAAACCAATAACACAATTGCGATCTCTTATCCAAATCAACCCATGCCTGCCATTTGTCCGTAATGTTTGCCAGTGTTGGACAGACACCAGTCCTATCTTTGTTTAGTTCCGGCAAAGAATCGGTTGTTGTTTTGCAAACAT